AAATGCAGAGTGGGGGAACTTTCCTGATGCTTCTCAAATCACATCTAATTAGCTACAATTTGAGGACTCCCCTGCAAGGCTTTCCTTTCCCGATAAGGTTTGCAACGGTCTTAGAGACGTGGGCTCAGATGTGATCTCGGGCAAACTGCCCGATCCCTCCACGCCTCCTTTTCCTCATCTGTATCAAATGCAGGGCTGGCAGTCCCTACCTCTAGGCACATTGTGAGGGTTTCATTTCTAAAGAGCTGAGCCCAGGGACGGCACACAGGACATTCTGAGAGGTCTCAGCGGTCACAGTCATGTCACCAGTGTGAGTGTGTGAGCGTGTGTGTCTCTGGGCAGCAATAGGTGACTGAGCCTCCCTGCTGACTCGAAATGGGTGTTTCCCCAGCTCCACAGGCATCCGGGAGGCTGAGCGTTTTGGGACGCCCCCCGGGAGGGCCTCCAGCACTCCCCGGGCAGGAAAGGAGGAGAACAGCAGTGGCACCAAGCACAAGGCTGGCCGGGTAAGTCACTAGATGCATCCACCTGTGAGTCCTCTACACCTGGGAAGGGTCTTTTTGTCTCTGGGCCGGGTTGCCGTCTCCCAGCTGGACCTATGTGACTCCTGGGTTGGCCTGTGAAGGTGAGCGATGGGCCAGGTCACAGGTGCATCCAGGAGAGATGCCCCAGATGCCAACTTCTTAGGGACCTACACAATGTTTCAGGCCCAGGGACAAAGTCCCCACAAGCTTAAAGTATGGTATCTCGAAGTGCAGCTCTCACCTGCCTGCATTGGAGGCACTTGGAGCCATTGCTTCACATGCAGATTCTGGGACCCTCCCCAGCCTCCTGCAGCAGGTCTCCTTCATGCAGCCAATCTGCCCAGAGGGTTCCAATGTGCCCTAAACTCAGAGAACCACCAATTTAGATTTGGAACTCCCGTGATTTCACCACTAGCAAAGAGGAACCTCTGGTGGCTCCAACAAAGCAGTATGAAAACACGTGCAGTTTGGGTCTGATCACATAGGTGCCAATTGACACAGATTCCTAAATGGAAATGTGTAGACACAGATGGCAGAACCGGATCACCCCAAATCCTCCTACCCATTCAGCAAACATTGCGTGGGGACTGGCTGTGTTCCAGGCACAATCCTAAACATGGGGGTGGGGTGGGGAGTATAAGCATGAATAAATTACCACCTTTATCCTTAGGATGCTCCATTCTAGAACATGCATTCTAATGGGGGGCAATATTGCCCTAAAGGAGTGAAAATTTGTTTGGGGAGGATTTTATTATTTTTATGTAACAGCACAGATATGCCTATGTACATAAACAGATGTACAGTATATCTGTGGTATTAAGGTTTCATGGTAGAGGTGAACTTAGGGGAAAAACTGTCTAACATATCTCCTTAAGAGATAATAATTTTTTTTTAAAGGTTGAGAAACACTGGTCTAGGAAGAAAGGCAGTCAAGTAAATAATTACAAAGCACCGTCATGACTACCATAACACAGCTATGTTCAAAATAAGAGAGAGATTTTTGAGGGCCTGCTGGGCGATAATCATGGTCAGCATTCAGCAAGTGCCTCCTCTGCACCAGCGCCCTCCTGTGTTCTCTACAGATGGGCTCTCCGCTCGTTACAACAGTGCTAGTATTGCTATTCCCATTTTGTAGCTGCGAAAATGGGCTCAGAGAGGGGAGGTGACTTGTGCAAGGTCACACACAGTGTGGCAGAGCAGGAATAGGAAACCAGGTCTGTGTGTCTCCAAACCCACATTCTCTGTGCCACACCAGGCAGTGCTAGAATAGTCCTCTTTGACTTGGGGATGCAGTCAGACCTCATGGTCCTGCTCATTCTCACAGGCATTCTCCAATGTAACCAACTCTCCTGCCACGAAGGAGGAAGGGAAGAGACTTATGTGAATAACCAGACTAACAATATTTGTCCTCACCCTCGGTAGCACAAAACTCTCTCCTAATGTTAATTCACAAACTCCTCTCAGTCTCCCTGAGTAGTGAGTATTATTGCAAATAGAAAGAGCACAGAGAGGCTAAGTGAGTTACTCAAGGTCACACAGCAATTAGAATTGGAGACATTTCCCAGATCTCAGACATTTGATTCTTGTTTCTCTCTTTCCTGTCCTTTTTCTCTTCTCAGCTGCCCCTGGGGAAGATAGGAAGGGGCTTCAGCAGCAAAGACCCCGATTTCCATGATGACTATGGCTCTCTTCAAAACGAAGACTGTGGAGATGATGACCCCCAGGGCAGGCCAGAGCAGTGCCGTCTGGAAGGCTACAATGGCCTGGAGGTCACCAACGTGTAAGGAACCAATGGCTTCATCAGACCCAACACAGAGAGACCCAGGAAGGAGAAGCAGCCCGATGGCCCCCGGTAACATCCCTACTGTACACAGTGACCTCAGGCTGAGGATGCTCCTTTACTCCTGGGCAAAATCTCAACAGACAGTAACACTGTACACAGTGACCTCAGGCTGAGGATGCTCCTTTACTCCTGGGCAAAATCTCAACAGACTGTTGCAATTTCAGATGGGAGTGCCAAGAAGAGAGAAGACACCAGCCTGCCTGTCTTGGGAGGGTCATGGACCTTCCTGCTCAACAGGAGACTGGTCAGGAGGACTTGTCACAGGGCCCCGGCCCTCTGTAACCTGGGATGTGCCAGCTTCACTGCAGAGCAACTGTCAGCTGTTGAGCAGTTCAAGTGGTCCTGGGAGACTTGAACTGAGTTGCCAAGGAGGAAAAAGGCCTTTAGTTTCCCAAAATGCCCTCCCAGGAGGAGTAGGTGGGACTCCAAACAGACACCCCAGAGCCCGGTGCATAGGCTGTGCTAGGGGCGAGCAGAGCCCCCAGGTGGCAGGAAGTGCTGCCTCTTGCTGAGGTGTCAGAGGAGGAGCTCTTGGCCGCAGCATCCTCCCCCCTTGACTGAGAACTTGGATTCCGACTTGGATCACTACATCTCTCTTGGGAGAATGCAAAGGGTGGGTGGTCATTCCTTGCACTTTCAAAGCTCTGTGTCACATGGGGTGGACCTGTTGAAGAGCTGTTTGCCCGTCATCAGAATGAAAGATGTGATGACTGAGCTCAGTCAGCAACAACCATACCAGGTGTGGCTAGGGGTTTAGGATCTGGGGCAGGGAAATGCTTGTCACTGTTAACCCAGCAAACTTTTGTGGTGATGTCCCTGTACCTGAAACATAGGTGTGCTTACTGATGCCCTGAGGTACAAATCCCCCAGGACAAAGTCATTAAGTGTTGGTGGAGAAAGCCCCCAGCCCCTTTCCTGACCTGCTGTTGTCTTGCTGTGTGGCTTCTTCCCGGTGGCCTCACCTCTCTGTGCCTCAAAGTCTTTATCTACAATACTTCTGGTTCCCTCCCAGGGACATTGTGCAGATTAACACTTGCTAATGTCTGTAACACTTTGTAACCTCTCAGGAGCCGATGGGAAGTTAAGGGGTAGGGAGGGGGAGTGTCTAATTTCCCATTTACAACACAGAACTGACATTGAACTAATTCTTTCCAACTCTTCCGGTTGGAGTAACGTGCAAAAGAAGGACAAGGAATGTTTAATGTTCAGACCCACCAAGAGCCCCCAACAGGGCTCGGCAGACTAGGAGATCCCATGAGCACAACCTTGAAAACCCGTTTGGCTCCAGTGTTGCGGCCTGAGCTCATTGACCAGATGACTTGGCTGAGTGACGGTTAGGGAAGGACGGTGCATTGGGATTCTACTGACACAACAGGTAGCAAGGGAACCATCTGTTGGAGCCATCATGCTTGACTTCCTGGAGTCAGGGAGAGATCCGAGCTTTCAAGATTTGCAGCCGGTGTCAGCCTATGAGGACCGTCAAAGCACAAGTTCTTCAAGCAAATTGTTTCCCCTCATGGGAAAAGCCAGACCCTGATGAACTTGAGAATTACCCTTCCCTAATGCCGAGGACCACGGTTTTCTCTCTAACCTTAAGATGAGCACAGCCTTTCTTGCTACCTGAAACCAAATGCCTAGTTGGTGGATGGGGCGTGTTTAGCTTCCTAAAGACATCTTTCTAATTCCAGGTCCCAGGGGGTGAATTTCTAGTATATGGCTTGGTTTTGAGGTTCCAAACCCCAGTATCTTTATGACGTTTGGCCTCATCCAGGGGGTCCAGAAACTGCAAAGCATGCAGCTCAAAGAGGAAAGGTAAGACCTCCCTCTAACTTGGTGCCATGCGTCACTCCAAGCC